GACACGTTGCTGACGGACGCACAGAAGACAACGCTGATTTACAGGCAGAACTAGTAACAGAAAATTACTAGCTGCTATCTTGTTCTGCCTTCTATTCCTAACACGTAACTGGGGGACATAACCAGTGTTGGCACAGGAGCACACAAGGTTTTCACAGTGTCTACACAGGCACACCCAAGCTTATAACAAGCGTCGACGCAGGTGATCACTGCAGACGCAAGGATATAACACCCACCATACTAGCTGCTGTGCGGCTACTGACAGGGATCGAATGACTTTCATACAGATTTGTGAACGTTTATCAACCCTAGATGGCCCTTAAATGAGCTAGTTTATGTGCTTTACACGACGGCAGAGGTATAGGCAAATGGCGAAGATTTTAATTCGTACTACCGACATTGGCATTAGCTAAAAGTCCCGACCCGTGTTTCGCCAATGTCTCTGCTGCTTTCCGACGCAAATACGAGGGGCTCGGCTCCTCAGTGGGTCCCCCAGCGTCCTCTATGTGGATTCGGGTATATGAACCCTTGAGAATAATGAAGAGAATTATTAATGGCATCACATGGAGTTAAGCAAGCAGGACATTACTTTTTCTGGGTCAGCCCGAAATTGCAAGAAATATTTTAATTGTAGCTTGGTTCATTTTAGTATTTAATACTTAAGTATACTTACTAAAGTATATTTATCTAATGTTGGCGGTATCTAACTAAACTAAACTTTAAAATTTAAAAAAGAAACTAAATAATAACACAAAAATTTAACTAAACCAAAGTGATACAATCAAAAGAAGCCGCAGTGCTCGGGTCTTAGCGTACCTTAGGTGGGCAAACAACTGAACTGTTACCAGAAATGGAATATTTGAATCGCATAAAGTCAACAACTTTCCAATAACCAAGTAATGCCCATTCAAAAAACAAGCCGTATGAATTACATGAGGCAAATATTTTACACCGTACTCCCGAGAAGGGTACTGACTAAAAGCCTAGACACTATTTTGTCGATGTCTCTGCCGCTGAATGACACGGCTGCCTGGGATTCGTCTCTTCAGTCGGTCCTTCCTAGCACTCCCTAGGTGCTTTCTGGCAGATACTCCAGGATTTACTATGGCAGCTTTTTGTTTCTGGGAGCGGTTAAGATGGTCGCCAACCTCAAATACCGTTATTTCCTAGTCCTCCGGTTACTTCTACTTAGTTTATTATTTGAGTTTAGTTTACTTAGGTACCACAAACGATAGATAAATATACCTAAGTAACTACTATATCCGTAACTAAAATAACTAAACTAAGTTAAACAAAATAAAACTCTCTGCGGTAAAGT